ATGTTGGTAAATTATAAGAGTGCCTTCTAATGTAAAATGCAACATATTTTACTAATTTCCTCTTTAGGTTACTCCTTTGGCCACTAAACTTGTACTTTTTATTTTGTTCTCTTGTCACTTTTATAATCCTAGATTTTGAGTATTAGACATTACACGATTATAAAATTACTTATCTGTTGCAACTTCTCTTTATTGCACTTATATCTTTCCCAATTTATCTTTTGCCTATTATCCATATTTTGGTCTTAATTGCTGCTCTAATGCTTATATAATTGACAATAAAAGGGCACAAATGAAAGTAAACTATTATCTCTCTTTCTATTAATTTTTAATGCACAAGAAGTGATAATGCTAGGAAACATGTCAATCAAGGGAAGGTAAGAGAGATTTTTGAAACCATGAAAGCTAAGTGATATTAAGGCAAACTTTAGGGAAGTTTTGTGAAATTATTCCTGATAGTAAATTAGGGGAGATTACACAATAGGCAATTGGTGCAGTAGCAGTAGTAGTAACTGTATTATTAGAATTAGTGATAGTAAATTGAGACAAGAGACTTTGGGGAAAAAAAATGAAACTGCCACTCATGGGGAGAGTGGAGCAGGGCGAGACTATGCCGAGGTTAGGTCAGGGTTGGGGATAGGGGGAGTAATTTGATGACAGAGGTCCTAAAACTGCCCCACTGTCATCCTTAATTGCTAGTTGGATACTTCAAAGCACAATAAGTAAATACTAATTTGATGATGTGGATAAAATAATTTCATAATAAACAATTTGCTGATATTATTTAATTACTATTGGCTTCTAGTATTACAATCCATCCACAATTTTAAACAATATATTCAGAAACTTGTCCGAGGTATTCTCAAGGTGCAAAATATTTTTTTTCTAATTATAACAAATTTTTCTTTTGCATTTCTTGTCCAGACCAACGACTTCCAAATTATAAAAGATCTTTTGACCGCATTAATATACTGTAATTCTTAAGGATTTAACTTAGTTTGTTAAGAAAACTAAAGGTCTGCATATTTTTGGAATAAAAATGTTTTATCACTTCCAAAATGAGTTTTTAAATCATATCTTTTGAAATGGGTTGATAAAGTCATAAAGAGTTGAAAAACAAGGGAAATATGTGAGATTTTTCAAAAGTTAGGGGTATCAAATCATATTGTCACAAACCTCAAGGGAGGTTTTTTAAATTATCCCATAATCTTAAGAGGTTTCCGGGTTTCAGTTTTAAATTTGCTCTGGGAGAAAATGGAATGAAAAATGGTTACATTTTCTAAATATAGTTCTCAAAATATTAATACATGCAACAAATTACCTTTAGGCATTGAACATCAAGTACTATTACTTAAACAATTTCAACATAAATACAGAAAAAGATATGTTCTTGCAAATTTTCATTCTCTTCCAATTATTCAGAAATAGAAAACATTAATCCTCAAGGGTCAGTCTAAAACCATTTTTATTAATAAATCCAAAAACCCAAAAACCATTTCTTCGTAGGAATCCTTAAACCTAGTTTTCTTTTCAACATCAGCAGCAGTTGTTCTTGAGAAGAAGACGAGAGACAGAGATTTCTGATCACTGGGCTTCATCATTCCAGTTCCGTTTTAGGTTTTCTTCAATTATTTCTTTTCATTGTTAGTTTTAAGTAATCATTAATAGGAAGAAATCGTAGTTCTAGCATCTAAGTTGGTGGAAGGGAAGATCAAGAATGGCGGTTCTGAATTTCCGCCGACGCCCTCGAAAGAGCAAGTATCCTCAAAGATCAAAGTTCGATTCTGCTCAAGATGAGCAGATATTTTGTCCCGTGATTGAAAAAACAGTACCTTTCAAGAAATCCTGTTGTGGTACAGAACCTAAAAATGGTGTTTGGTGAGGAATGTATCTGAAATGTACTCAAATGATAAGAACACGAATTATACTCAAGCTGAATGAATTCCCGGAACAATTGAACTTTTATTGAACAACTTCAACTTGCTTACAGAAAAAGAAATTGGCGGGAAAAGAAGAAGATGAGAAAGAATGCAGGAAGAACTTAAGGAAAGGATAACAGAAAGGATATTCTCCTTCTGATTACAATTCAGGAATTTTCTCTACCAATAACAATTGCATGATCGTAATATTTATAGTAATCTATCCTAACTAACTTGCCCACTAGCTAACGACATAGAAATTGCGTGTGAGTGAATCTTCTAGATTCTCCTGTCCACTTGCAGCAAGAAGGACGTGAACCCAGAATGAGCGTGCTTTCTTGCTCGCGCCTTTGCGGTCTCCTGGCGCCTTCTCCCTTTTTGTTATCACGCCTTTATTTACTTCGTGCCCACTTGCTGTCTGAATTCTTCAATCCGCGTCTTCTCTTCTTTCCTCTCTGCTTGATCGCGCTTTCCTTTGTTGCCACTTCACGCCTTTACTCCTTTATATCCCTACTTCATTACAATACCTTCCCCTCCACAGCAAACCTTGACCTCAAGGTTGGCAGGTAGGGAATTGTCTTTCGATCTCCTCAGCATCCTCCCATGTAGCTTCTGCAGGGTCCGTACCCCACCAGTGGACTAGCCACTGAGTGGCAGCTGCATTTTTTTCTTCACCATTTTCCTATCCAGTATGGCAATAGGCTCCACTCTCCAATGACCCTTTTCATTTGTTTCTGGTAAATGGAGGGTGGGGGTGATCTTGTCTCCCACCTTTCTTTTGAGCAACGACACATGGAAGACAGGGTGTACCTTTGAAGAGCTTGGCAGTTCCAGTCTATAAGCTACATTTCCTATTCTTTCCTCCACTTTGTAAGGGCCAAAGTACCTTGCTGATAACTTGGTGTTCCCTCTCAGGGCCACAGAGCTCTGTCTGTAGGGTTGCAACCGTAGATACACCCAATCTCCTTTACTAAATTCTCGTTCACTCCTCTTCTCATCAGCATACCTTTTCATTCTCTCCTGAGCCTGCTTCAAATTCTGTTTCAGCATGTTATCCATTTGTTGCCTCTCTCTGAGGTATTCTCCTACTGCAGCTACCCTGGATTGCAGGTAAGGTCCCAGAGCCAATTGGGGAGGGGCTAGACCATATAGAGCCTCAAAAGGAGTCATCTGGATGGCAGTGTGGTGAGAAGTGTTGTACCACCATTCTGCCAGAGATAACCACTGATTCCACTTTTTTGGTTCCAAATGAGTCAAGCACCTGAGGTATATTTCGAGCACCTGGTTCACCCTCTCAGTCTGGCCATCAGTCTGAGGGTGATAAGCTGTGCTGTAGTTCAATTTGGCCCCCAATGAACTGAATAGTTCTTCCCAGAATTTACTGACAAAAATCCTGTCTCTGTCTGAGAGCATGCTTTGGGGAATGCCATGTAGTTTACTGATGTAGTCAATGAAGAGTCTGGCCACTTTTGGAGCATCAAAAGGATGGGATAAACTGATAAAGTGTGCATACTTGGTAAACCTATCTACCACCACCATAATAGTATTCCTTCCTTCTGATTGGGGTAGTCCTTCAACAAAATCCATAGAAATGTGGCTCCATGAGTGCTGGGGAATAGGAAGTGGCTGCAGCAATCCTGGGTAAGCCACATGTTCATCTTTACATTTTCTGCAGGTATCACATTCTAGGACTGCCTTCTTGATTTCCTGGTACATTCCTGGCCAATAAAATAGCTGTTTTGCCCTCATGTAGCTGGCCTGAATGCCTGAGTGTCCTCCAACTTGGGAATCGTGTAGTGCAGTGATTAACTTCCTCCTGGTATCACCTTGTCCCCTACTACTAGCCTCTTCTTGAACCTGAGAATGCCATCCTGGTATGAGTAGTCAGGTGCTAGTGTGGGGGTTAATAACACCAGAGCTATGGTCTTCTGAGTCCATTCATCCCCCTTGTAACTCTCTATCACCTCCTGTACCCAGGTTGGCACTGCACATGATATAGCTGTGCACTCCCCTATTTCTTCCCTGCCCTGTCTAGACAGTGCATCAGCAGCCAGGTTATCCTTACCTTTTTTGTAATGGATCTCGTAGCTCAACCCCAACAATTTAGTGAGCCATTTCTGTTGGAGTGGGGTAGTGATCCTCTGCTCCAGGAGATACTTCAGGCTTTGATGGTCAGTATGTATGATGAAATGGTGTCCTTCTAAGTAGTGTCTCCATTTGGTCACAGCTGTCACCAAGGCTAGTAGTTCTTTTTCGTAGATTGATAACCCCATGTTTTTCTATCCCAGAGCTTGACTGAGGTAGGAGATAGGTCTTCTATTCTGCATTAACACAGCTCCTATACCAGTGTAGCATGCATCAGTCTCAATAATGAATGGCTGGGTGAAGTCAGGTACTGCTAGAACTGGGGTGCTACACATGGCCTCTTTCAGTTGCTGGAAAGCCTGCTCTGTGTCTTCACTCCAGTGGAAGTTGTCCTTCTTGAGCAGGTCTGTCAGGGGTCTGGCTATAGCCCCATACCCTTTGACAAACCTCCTATAGTACCCTGTTAGGCCCAAATATCCTTAGCTGCTTGATGTTGGTTGGTCTCGTCCAGTTTTTCATGCCTTCTATCTTCTCAGGGTCAGCCTGTACTCCCTCTGCTGATATGATGTGTCCTAAATATTCCACCTGTAGCTGAGCAAAAGAACATTTACTCATTTTGGCAAATAACTGGTGTTGCCTCAGAATACTCATTACCTCAGTCACATGCTTCACATGTGTCTCCAGTGTGGGGCTGTAGACCAGAATGTCATCAAAGAACACCAACACATGTTTCCTCATCTGTTCCTGGAAGACCTGATTCATCAGGCTCTGGAAGGTTGCAGGTGCATTGGTTAAGCCAAATGGCATGACCTTGAATTCATAGAGTCCTTGATGAGTCCTGAAAGCTGTTTTTGGTATGTCTTCCACTTTGACCCTGATTTGAAAGTATCCTGCCCTCAGATCTATTTTTGTGAAATACTTGGCCCCATGCAGTTCATCTATTAACTCTTCAATCAGGGGCATGGGGAATTTGTTCTTCACTGTCAGCTCATTCAACTACCTGTAGTCTACACAGAACCTCCATGTCCCATCTTTTTTCTTAACCAGTAGCACTGGGGAAGCAAATGGGCTGCTGCTGGGTTGTATGATGCCCAGCTCCAGCATTTCCTTCACCAATTTCTCAATTTCTGACTTCTGCACGTAGGGGCACCTGTATGGTCTCACCTGGAAGGGCCTGGCTCCCTCCTTGAGGACAATCTGGTGATCATGGCTCCTTGTTGGAGGCATTCCTTTTGGTTCTTCAAAGACGTCCTTGTATTGATCTAGCACATAGTTGATTTCAATGGGTATCTGTCCTGGTCTTTCCTCCTTCCCCACTGTCACCAGTTGTGCTACTACCCCATATTCCTGCTTCCTTAGCCATTTTGCTAGCCTGCCTCCTTTGAGTATCTCCAACTTGGTGCTGCTGTCATCCCCTATCAGTATTATTTCTTGCTTCCCCTTGAGGATCTTCATACTGAGTTCCATGAAATTGAACTCTATAGGGCTGTGTTTGGCCAACCAATCCACCCCCAGTATCATGTCACATCCCCCCAACCTCAAGGTGTTGAAGATATGTTGGAACTGATGCCCCTGCATCTCCCACTGCATAGGCTTATCTAGTCCCTTGGAGTCCACCTTCTCACCATTAGCCACATTGACTATTAAAGTTGGCCCCTGTGTACACAGTTTCAACTCCTTTGCCAGCTGCTCATCCAAGAAGCAATGGGTACTGCCACTATCAATTAGTGCAGTGACTTGCCTTCCCTTAACATGACCCCTCAGCCTTATCGTTTTGTGCCTTGCTCCTCCTGCCAGGCCATGAATTGATACTTCTATGTGTTCCCCTGCCAGACCTCCATTAATGCAGTCACAGAAAACTTCCTCTTCTGGTTCCCTACCCTTCTCCATGTCTTCATCCTCATCAGCCAACAGTAAATGTGCATGGGCTTGTTTGCAAACATGCCCCAAGGTATAAGGTTCTGCACATCTATAACATAGCCCCTTTTCCCTCCTGTGATTGTATTCTGTGGCGGTTATTTTTTTAAATAGGTTCTGGTTGGAAGTGTGCTGATCAGGGGGTTTGTTGGTGTGTTTGGGGTACTTTTGGTTCCATTTGGTGTGGGGTGTAGTTTTGCTGTAGATTTTTTGGCTATTGAAACTGGTATTGACAGGTTTCTGCATTTTTTGGATTGCTTTGAGGTTCTTTTCTTGGAGTTTTGCTATTTCAATGGCAACAGCTAAGGTTTCAGGTTTAGATATTTTCACCATATTGACTATTTCCTCTTTCAGTCCACTCATAAAACATGCCTTATAATATGAATCAGACAAGTGAGGCAGAGAAGGCATTACCAGGGCTTTGAGCATCTCGAATTTCTCCAAGTATTCAGCCACAGATCCTGCCTGCACCAGCTTATTGAATTCTTCGATGGCCTCTTCTGGACTTCCCTCTCCAAATCTGATGCATAGAGCAGTGGATAATTCTAACCAGGGAATAGCCTCCCTTCCATAAAAAACTCCATGGAACCAGATGTCTGCTCTGTCTCTGAAATAGAGTTCAGCAACCTCAGCCCTCAAATCCTCCTCTATCTCATGTAGTTTGAAATACTTGTTAGCCTTCCTGATCCACTCCCTTGGATTGTCTCCATCAAAAATTGGCAGATCCATTTTGGCAATCTACCATGGACTCTGGTCTCTCTCCTACTACCTGCTTCTTTTGGTGGCTCCATCCTGGATTCATTTGATCGATCTTCCTTTTTTGAGCTGCTACTGCCTTCTGGTTCCTTTCCCTGGTCACTGATCTTGGCCACCAACTGAGCCATCATGTTCATCAGGCCCTCATATTTCTGATCCAATCCTTTCAGTAGCTTTTCAGTAGCATCCTGTCTAAACTCCATTGTCCTCATGGCCTGTTCTACTCCCTCACTTTTGTTGGTAAAGGTCCTGACCACACTCCCTAATTCCACGACCTCTCTTCTCAGATTTTCATCCTGGTTTTTTGTCATCCCTATGGCTCGCAACACAGCTCTGATACCACTGTTGTGGTACAGAACCTAAAAATGGTGTTTGGTGAGGAATGTATCTGAAATGTACTCAAATGATAAGAACACGAATTATACTCAAGCTGAATGAATTCCCGGAACAATTGAACTTTTATTGAACAACTTCAACTTGCTTACAGAAAAAGAAATTGGCGGGAAAAGAAGAAGATGAGAAAGAATGCAGGAAGAACTTAAGGAAAGGATAACAGAAAGGATATTCTCCTTCTGATTACAATTCAGGAATTTTCTCTACCAATAACAATTGCATGATCGTAATATTTATAGTAATCTATCCTAACTAACTTGCCCACTAGCTAACGACATAGAAATTGCGTGTGAGTGAATCTTCTAGATTCTCCTGTCCACTTGCAGCAAGAAGGACGTGAACCCAGAATGAGCGTGCTTTCTTGCTCGCGCCTTTGCGGTCTCCTGGCGCCTTCTCCCTTTTTGTTATCACGCCTTTATTTACTTCGTGCCCACTTGCTGTCTGAATTCTTCAATCCGCGTCTTCTCTTCTTTCCTCTCTGCTTGATTGCGCTTTCCTTTGTTGCCACTTCACGCATTTACTCCTTTATATCCCTACTTCATTACAAATCCATTGTGAATTAGGGTAAAAAGGAAGTTCTTTTGGCAAGAACTACTGGAATCAGTTCCCAGAATCACGATAATCTACGCAGAACCAGGAATGGTTCCGCCGATGATCTTTCGGGATTTCGCACATTGACTGAAAAAAAGGGAAAAATTGGGAGAATAGAGGTAAAAGAATGGTTCAATTGGCAAGAGATACCAAAATCAGTTTGCCCATTCTTGATGATCATCAGCTTCTCGATCAAGAACCATTCTTGAACGAAAAATCAGCGGCCACACAGGAATCTACTGGGCAAAGCAAGACGAAGATTACTTTTAAGAAGAAACTAGTTGTAATGATCGATATTCCTGATCGAGTGACGAAGCAGAAAACAGGCGATATTTGTTCTCTTCCGTCAGAACAGAACCAGCGGGAACAACTTCCACTGGAGTTGAAGAAGTACGTAAAGGAACTGGGGGCAACAGGGGAACCTGTTTTGGTGATTGAAAAGAAATTGTCGTCTTCAGACGTGAACACTGGGCTTCAAAGATTGTCGATTCCGGTAAAACAGGTTCTGAATCACGGGTTCTTGACAGAAGAAGAGAGGAGGAGATTCAACATTGATAACAAACAGCAAGAAATTGACGCCCTCTTAATTGAGCCATCACTTGCTCAATCAGGAATCAAGTTGAAAAAGTGGTATATGGGGAACTCTGAAGTGTACGTGTTGGTGAGTGGCTGGAATGAGGTTGTGAAGAGGAATGGATTGAAACCAGAAACACCAGTGCAGCTATGGTCATTCAAGAAGGATTCACAATTGTACTTTGTTTTGGTGCGGTTGTAATAGGGCTGCTCTGCATAGAGATGCTTAATTTGTAGATTACATTCTTGAATTTTGACGTAATTAACTGCAGTTTAATCATGTTAATGTTGGATGAAAATTATTTTCTTTGGCTGTTTCGAAAGTGATGGATATATATATATAGATAGCTAAATCTAGATCGATCATTCATATATGTTTGTACTTATAGAAAATTAGTAATATTTCATGTGTGCTTTGTCCGTATATATATTTTCCATAACATAGTTTTCTAAGGTACTAAATTTCTAAATTGTAATTTCTTTTAATGGTTTCTATGGACTGTAGTGATGTTTCGTTTGATGTCATTTGAGTTAAAATTTTTCAATTTTTATTAATTAATTGTTCTCTTTCATCTGATTTCGTGATTTTATTTTCAGTTTTAGTCGATTTTTTTTCATTTTTTTTTGGGTGTTCAATTTTTTTTCCGAATTTTTTGGGTGTTAATGTTTGATAGTGCTATTTCAGTTAGGTGTTAATGATTAATCGTGCTATTCATAGCTAATTCATAAAGCAGCTAATTCATAGCTAAGCAGCTACTGCTTACAAAATCATCAAGAGGCTTCAGAGGCAGTATTCTATACAAAAACTAGCAGGATTTAACTCTGCACGAAGGTTGAGAGCCTCCTGAGATGCCTTCAACCGTATCCATCCAGCCACCTTTTTCATAATGCAATCAACCACAACATTAGTTATGATGCTATACAAGGTTTTTAAAGATACTAAAGCTCCTGTAATGCCACAATCTGTACACTCGGGCTGCAAAAGTTACCCTTTGAACAGCAATAACAAGCGAATTATGAGAACATTTCTGAATCATCCATTGCATTTGCTGATTCCCACACATCAAGCAACACTTCTGCACCAACTCCCAAACATAAGGTAAGAGAGTTTCTGGAGCATAGCAACACATTTTTCTTACACAAGGGACCGACCTCTATTTCCCAGAAAAGTAACCTGTATATAGCATGGTTCGCCATCACGGGTCCGTGCGGTCGCGTCACGGTCTCGGTTGTTCCACATTCGTCGCGGCATATCGATTGAATATCGGGTGATACGCACATTATAGTATATAAAAATTTTCAAAAAATCTGAAAAATTATTAAAAATAGAAAATACGGTTAAAAATACAATTATCAAACTAAATTTACTAAATACCTACATTATCATATATGGTTACTGATTATTAAATGAAATAATGCTATCATTACCATAAGGGCGTATAGCATTAGCAATAAATGATTTTAGAATCAAATGCTCTATTTTATATGAGATAAAAAATTATATATAAGAATAAAATCATCATATCTTACATAATACAAAATAAATCTTTGTACACAAAGGAAATAACGGTATTTAGATCAATAAAATAAAAGAAACAAATACTTATCAAATAATATTATGAAATGCAAAGACATAAAGAAACAAGCATTTTCACTTAATTACTTGGGCCAAACTTGGACTTTAGGTGCTTCCAATTTTTCCTTCTATTTTTTTCCCTATCTCTGGGTCCGGTACAAAAGCCCAACTTCTTTTTGCATAATACGTTAATTGCATGTTACTTCCAAGACAAAACATGCAACAACAGCATTTTTGCACTATACAATTGTCCTTTTTTAATCTTTCCAGCTTTTCTACAAAGCAGAGACCCATAAATGAGAAAGGACAAGAGAAAAAAGACATACCAAGGTGTAGGAACAGATGATGCAGAATCCAACTCAGTAACCCCGTCTTTCCACTTCTTCAGCAGCCAAAGAGAGTAAACGATCATTACAACTAGTGTTGTTCCTCTCAGATTTAGCTGTCCCTTTCTTCATTTTTTTTTTCAATTTCCCTTTCGCCCTTTTTCTCCTCATTCACAGCCAGATTGAAGACCCCTTTGCCCGGTACAGATGATGAAGAAATTGAAGACCCCTTCAGCTCCAAATGTGATGTTCAGCAGTCACCTTCATTCTTTCTTTCGCTTTCCCTTTCCCTCTGTTGTCTCCCTCCCTCTCTGCCATCACCCTCTGTTTTTCTCCTCCCCTCCCTTCATAGCCAGGCGATGAAGAAATTGAAGAACCCCTTCAGCTCGCTTCTCCAAATAACTCCAGATACTGCTGTGACCCTCGTTCTTTCTTTTCCCTTTTCCTTTCTCTCTGTTTTCTCCTTCCCACTCTGTAAAAGACACACAGAAATTGACGGTATGTTTCTCTCCTTATCCTCCCTTTCCCCTAAATCTTGTCTTTGTGACTAAAAAAGAAAACAAGAATGCATGGGTGGCCGACTCTCTCTGTTCTTGTTGTTGTTTATGATTTGACCGGTTCATATCTAAGTCGAATTCGAGAATTTGGCCGGTATCCTTCTACACGGTCTAACTCGGCCAATATTGACTGATTTGGAGCGATTCAAATTGGATATGGTATAATCGGCATTTCGGGTATCAGTATCGGAACGGTAGGGACTGTTCGGGTTATGACTCGGCCGGGTTGGCGAACCATGGTATATAGTCAGATAAACGTTCTCTAAAAGCAAGGCTTTATGCTTACCCCAGACTACTTTAAACCAGGGCACTTTAGAATAAGTTTGAACAAGCTCACTTATGGCACAATCTACTGTGTAACCTCCATTTAAACTAGGCAACAAGTAATGAGTCTTCAAGACCAGAATTTGGCAGTACATGAGGCCCCTTAGGATGCCATACCACAAGAAAGTGGTTTTGCCATTACAAACAATCAAACTGGGTACATTCCATTGCAACAGGCCTTGATTTAAGAAGCCTGTGCCAATTCCAAGAAAACGAAGTCTTAGCTATAACATTTAAACACAGGATAATCTATTTACACATATTATTGTATCTGTTACCAGAAGTTCTATCACTGATCAGTTGTGTCATTTGAGATCTTGTTATTTCACTTTGCTAATGTAGAAACTTTGATAACTCACAGAGTATGGCACTCCTAGTGCCTCTCTCTCATTTTATCCGTTAGAAACTGAACAAAGCATTTGTCTTTGTGTGTTTGGAATAACGAAATTGAACAGGACTGAACGAAGTAATGTCATCGGGAGCTACTTAAAGCTATTGACATAATCTGGAAGTTATATCAGGGTCAACAGACAAATCTCAAACTACATGGTAAATAATCCGGTCATACTAACTCGAGCATCTGAATTAAGTTTCAACGAACCATGAGGTGGTTTTTCTCAGACTACAGCACAACATGATAACTTCTTTGGATTTGACAAAACATATCGCACCAAATAACAATCCGAATCACCTCTAAAGTGGGAGCTACTTAATCGGCCAGAAATTCCAAACTATTCTAATAATCGATCAACCTGCCATACTATGTTGTCCATGCCCCAACTTACATTTCAAAAACGGCTGTGATTCCTTACCAATCATAGAGACCAACAGACCACTACTGATATGAAAACATGAATATGATCCTTTGATGCTCTGTGATTTGAGAAAATCAAGGGACAAACAATGCTTTCAAGCTCGTGCACCTACGTAACAAAAATCCAAATCTGCTCAAGAACCTTCTTCATACTTCC